TGAAGAATTAAGTTTCCTGTAAAACTCTCATGGTAACCAAGGAAAGGTTGAGAAGGAGGAAGGAAGGATATGGAAGATGCTATGGAAGGAGCTTTGTTTCTTGAGAGAGAAAGACATGCTGACAGACACCAGGAAAGCGAAGGCATTCATCTTAACCCTCTGTGCTTAACTATTTTATAAAACAGTGATACGGGCATTTGAATGTGAGGAGAGTGGATCCTGCCTTCTTTACAATCACACTGGGGTTCCCATCTGTTCTAGCTGCTCTTTCTGATTCCTGGGACTCGTTGTCTTGCGTCCTGTATTATCACACCTTAGTCTGTCTTCTTGCTCTTTTCACCTGGGCTAGGCTTGGGAACTTGGAGAAACCTCAGACCTCTAAAAACACCGGAGCCTCCAGAGATGCTCCTAATTAAATGCTGTTACCTGACTCAGGTGGACTTCTGGGTATGTGCTTGACTCTGTTTTAAGAACACCTGGTGTGTTCCGCTGAGGATTGCTGAGTAGAAGCCCCAGGGATTAAGACAGACACGCCTCATTCAAAACCTCAGCGTTTTGTTTTGCTGTGTGAAACAGAGTGTTCATGCCACTCTTAGATTTTTTTGGTCCTACTTACACATCAGAGCAGCCTTGAATATCTTACATTTTTGTAGAACTTTGAAAGAGTTCAAAAAGCTTTTCATGTGCATTTCTTATTTTAAGCACTCTCACCCCTAATAATCCTGTGAAGTAGGGATGGTCTCTGTTTACTAGAAGGAAATGTGGTTAATATACCTACTCAGGTAACAAGACTAGCAGTTGAACAAACTAGAGCTTCCAGTCCAATTTCTGACTGCAGTCCACACCTAGGGGTTGTAAAGATATATGTGGACGATGGCTCTCCTCCCCCAGCTGTCTTCTTTTTCCCTCCTCCACCCCTTTTAATTATTATCAGACTTTGTATGCTCTTCAGGGACCACAAAGTAAGATTATCTGCAGAAAACCAAAGTGCAGGTGCAAGCAGGCTGGCCATACTACGGGGATATAGAAAGAAAGTAGTAGGCGGGATGTTTTGAAAGAGCCCTGCCTTGGAACATTGTTCCTTTTCCCCATAACTTACAACACCTAACCCTGGAAAGTTTTTCTTGCAAAAGGAAGATCCTTCAGTTTGGAAAGTAGGGATGAATGGCTTTTGAAAAAAGTAATTGAAGCCTTTCCTAAACTAAAGGTAGTCTAGTTCAATCTCCTTAAGGAGTATGTGAATTAATTACAATTAATCAAGACAGTGATTGGTACAAAATCACAAATAACACAGGTCTGAGGAAAATATATTTGTTTTCTTTTCAGCATCAAAGATTATTAAATCTAAATAGCCCCCAGGCATATGGTTTTCAATCCTACGCCTAAATATCTCCTGAGATATTCCATAAATTCCCTCTGTAACTAACCAGTCCTCGTAATCAGCAAGTTCTTGTTTCTATGGACTTAAATCCATATTCCTGCCATTTAAACTCATTTCCTCATGTTCTGCCCTCCAGGGAGGTAGAGAACAGCTGTCTGCCACCCTCTGTAGTAATCCTCAAGGGCAGTGTTTGCAAATAGTCTCCTTTGGGCTAAATATCAAGATTCCTCTCACCTTTCCTTTAAATTCTTCTGTTTAAAGCCTTTCCATGTTATTCACTTCTGCCTTAGACATTCTCTTCCCCGGGACCTGTCATGGTGAAAGATTTAGGATAAGAATCCAGTTGTAAAGTAGATGCCAAAGAGGTGGCAGAAAAATGCGATCTCGACAATTCTACGCTAACCTAAAGAAATAAAAGAGATTCTCTCCTTTTTTTTTTTTTTTGAGGCAGGATCTCACTATGTTGCCCAGCCTGGAGTGTGCAGTGGCTAGTCACAGTTGTGACAATAGCTCACTATAGCCTCAAGCTCCTGAGCTCAAGCAATCCTCCTGCCTAGGCCTCCCCAGTAGCTAGGACTACAGGCAACCACACCTGGCTTTGTTTTTCTGTTTCTTATAGCATTTCTGGCAAAATCTAGGCTCAACTATAGCTCACATAGGAGATAGGTGAAATTAATCCTTCGTGTCCTTATCCTCCACATACCCTTCTGCTCTAGAGTACTCTGGGCTCCAAATGCCTCTTTCCCTGCCCACTCTCCCTCCTCCCCAACTCCCTCGCCACTCAATGTGGTTTGAGATTTTAGGAGCAGAGCATGAAGACTGAACGCATTTCCTCTGATGGCCAAGTTTGATATTGATGAGCAAGGAGCCTTCCTTGAACTTGTTACATTTGTTGACTGGGCCTTCTCTGCTTAGCCAAGAGGTCCTCCCTGCCATCTCCTCCAGAAGGAGCCTGGTTCTATTTGTCACCCAAGGGATATTTTAGAGAAAGCTGGTGCTCCAAGAAATCAGAGGTCACTGTGACAGAGAGCAGAAAGCTGAAGGACCTATTTCAGAAAACCCAGGGGACTGTTGGCCCTTTAAGCAGAAGCATCTTCACATTAAACTTTCTTCCTTATGGTGAATTTTTCAATAGTGTCACTTCTATCTGACAACAAAAAAAATTTTTGCTTAATTTTGTCAAAAGGTAGAAGTTTTTAAAATTTTTATTATATTGAGAAGTCTTGTGTCTTACATGTGAAAATAGCCACAGAGGTAGAAGGGATACTCTAAAGAGGAGATTTTCAGTATTTCCCAGCAGATTCTCTTTGGCACGTTATTGGATCAAAGTCAGTAGAACATTAGGTTAGCTTGACTTGTCCATGTTGGAGAAATGTATCCTGAAGTCTAGAGTGTAAGGGGCTTTTTTGCTTTGTTTTATTTTGGGTTTTATTTTGAACAGTGTTTTGTATTACCAGGACAAGAGTTTCCAAAACTCAGGAAGTTGAAAGTCCTTTATAATGGGCACTGATTGAAATAAACTGACATGGCAACAAATTATATTTGGCAAATAGACATCGGAAAGCAAATATTCAGACTTCCTGGGCAGGGCAGAGTACTGGGCAGTTTTCCTGAATATGAACAATCAAGCACGTGTCAAATTCTGGAGAAGACAGACTTGCTCACTGTCGCTAGATGAGGCACGGCCATCTTGCTCTAGGTGCTATCAGGCCGAGCATGTGAAGCCCAGGCCAGCCAAATAACAGAGAGGGGATTGAGTTACTGCCTGCTTTTCTGCCTCCCTTACTGCTGACTACCTGCCTGCTGATATATCCTTTATTTAAATGGGAGAAGATATTTCTTAATTGTTGGCCATATATAGCCACATCAGTCTGTCTGATCGACAACACAAGCACCCAGCTGGGTGTGTATCAAGGTATGGGTTGCCAGGGGACTGAATTCTTAAAGTACATCTAGAGTCAGTCGTTTCAGGTGTCTGGAGGTGTTTTTGTTTTGTTTGGGTTTTTTTGTTTGTTTGTTTCCTTGTTTGTTTTTTTACATCAAAACAGTTTAGAGATTTGATTGCCTTCTTGAAATAAAGTTACTGACATTGTGGCACATTCTCTATTCTTAATAACATACACACATGAAGGGGGAGGGTCCAAAATACAGATTTCCAAAAGGAAAGAGGATAAATACAGTATTTTTCTGCTTCTCAGGAATATTGACCTTTCCTTCCCACCAATCCCAGAAGAAAAGATAATTAGAGGAAATACAGCATGGGCCAAATATACAAGCATATACATGTTCCAAGTTTGATGCAAAGTGTGTGTAGCTGTGCGGTTCATGAAATGGGTGGCAGGCAGAGCCGTAACCAGACCTGGGGGCATGAGCCAGCTCTACATTTTGCAGAACTGTTTTTTTGGCAGAGGCTTTTGAGGGCCCCAGAAAGGACTGTTAGTAACGGGGTGAGTTCCTGTACTTGGAGGCAGAGCCTTTGCTCCAGTGTTTTGTTTTAATGAAGCAGCCGGGAGGTTGCTTATCTCAGGCTGATAGATGTGTATTTCAGCATGACAGGAAAGAGGAGGCTCGTTCGTAAACAGACCTGGCCCTCTGGGGCTTCCCACATTGGAGGGGGGAGACTGCTTACAAGAAGTGTATGAAGTTTGTGCTCTGATTTTTCAAAGAAAATGCAGAAAATGAAATGTTTTGCATCCGAGAGCCCTGATCACTTTTCACTACCTAGAGCAGTTTTGTGAGGGTTGCACTGAGGCCGGTTTTGCTGAAGAGAAGACTAACTCTAGGGCTTTTTGAACTGCTAAATGCAAACCATGTGTGTGACCCGAGGTTTCCTCCCTCTCCAAAGCACTGCACATTTGGCACGAAGAATGAGTTTAGTAAAATGCAGTGGGGTGTGTAATGAAAAGTGGGATGCTGAAAGTGTCAGGAGATACTCACGCTGCTCCACAGTGAGCCTCGCCTGGAAGCGGGGGCTGTTCGCTGGCGACTGCAGTCCCCGTGTGCAAACAGCCAGACCCCTTCCCCAGAAGGTTTTTCTTAGGGTAGCCTCCTCCCGCCCCCATTTCTCAGGTAGGTTATTTACTTGGCACACAAGGCTCTCTCTGCTATAGCTAGGACAAAAAGCTAGACTTCACCCCAGTTTTTACCAAGTGTGTTCAGAAAAAGGCCCCCAAACTGCCACGGTTCTCTTACTGCGTTGTGAAAGTCTTACCCTCCAAACCCGATGGTATCCTCGAGAAAGAAGACGGACAGTGCTTCCTGAATACAGGTGCTGTTCAGTTGGCTCACACAGCCCAGATGGTGGTTTCTTCAAACATGTTAGGCCCTGAAATCCAGGGACTCTTGTCATCAACTGTCAGGGGTCTTAGCCACTCACTCTAACTGCCTGTCAGTCACCTGGAAGGCTGTTCTCATTTTCCCATGCAGGATGTTTTAAAAACAGCAGAAAAACCTTACAGTATAAGGTCTTCCAGCCATCCAGGACCAGGGCTAGCTGCTTCTGCCTGCGGTTGAGAAAAACATTAGATAAAAAGGCAAAGGCAGGAGAAATGTTCTTCTGGGGAATGCACATGTGTAACAGGAGTCTTTCTTTGCCCCTCCTTTTCATTATTAACTGCAGGGGAGACAGCAGGAAGGCAGCAAGTCCCCACGTCCCCGCCGGCCTCGGAAAACAGCAGCGCGGCCCACAGCATCGGCAGCACGCAGAGCACGCCCTGCTCCAGCAGCAGCACGGCCTAGCCCGGCCCTGCCCGCCGCTGCCACGGCGGGGCCTGCCCGGAGCCCCCAACCCGGGAGGCTGGATTTCGGTCCCCTTGTAAAGAGTGAGTGAATTTCAGTGTAAAGATCACCCGTTGTATTCACCTCCCACCCAGGGCTAATGTAGAATCCAGGTGAGAAAGCTAAGGGGGTGGCCTTCTCCACCAGCCCTCACAGGCCTGGGGGTTTTCAATGTGAAACATGTTGCCAGTTCTTAAAATGCTGCTTTGTCCAGTCAAGAACATCCATAATTTGGGGCCCTGAGTTTTACCCAGACTCAAGGAGTTTGTAAAAGGATAATAGCCAGATAGTAGAACGAACCAGTGAGGAGATGTGGCCAAAGATACTTTTATACCTGAACCAAGATGTAAAACAAAAGAAATGCTTCAAGGCTTTGTAAGCGTTCCTCCATGTCTAACGCGCACCTTCGTGGCATGCGCACTTCTGACCTTGATGCCACACCCCGTGGGGCCTGGCCCATCCCCGTGGATGGTGCCTGCGGGGACCGCATCCTGACCCCATCAAGGCAACATTCCTTTCTTGTGCCCTGGGCCAAAACCAGTGCTGATTACCTTATCAGCTTCCTGTTTATTCCCACACTCCATACACCAACTGCAAAAATGTCTTCATGCAAATGTTATATTTCTTATAGGCATATGGAAATAGAAAATGGCCAAAATCTAGAACCACAGATATGTGCCCATTTCTGACATTTTGTTCTGATAAATTAATGTATAAATTGAGGCAAAATTCTGTCATCAAGTCAAGGAGAAATTTGCACAGTGGTATATTTGTATGTGTATGTAAATACAAATATGTAATATGTCATCCGGCACATTCAAATTTTCCTAGTTGAAGAAGAGAAAATTCATTCCCCTTTGAAAATGTCCTATGTTTTCAGAGTTGCAACTTATTCTTAAGTATATTTGGTAAGGTAAATGTTTCTACACAAAACATGTCAATATTTTTAAAATAGGCCCTTTTGTAAAAACCAAACTCTTGTGAGATGCAAATGCACGGCAGGTCATGTTGGATTCCAGCTGGTTTTGAATAGTGTTACCAGTTCTGCCAAGACAGTGCTGAGCTATGGAAAAGGGGACTCATTTGGATTGCTTTAGTTCTCTTGCCTTAAATATATCCCAAACTCAAAAAAGATTTGAGGTGAATTTCATTAAATGGAATAATATGATGCCACTTTGCAGCTAAAATAAGCTCAGTGATACCTCTACGTTAAAAAAGAATGTGAGGGAAACTTCCATGCCAAATCATTTATTGCCGAACATAGCTTCATTGTAAGTTATTTAGTTTTCTTTTCCCAAAAATTCCCCTTAAATTACTTAGAATTTCATAAGTAGAACAAATTAGATTTTGCTCTAAAATATTCATAAGCAAATCTCAACTCCCCTTAAAATAATACCTATTCTCTGTGAATGGAGCCTCAAGTAGGAAATGTTGATGAAACTCAAAACCTTAAGGCAGCGTCTACACCGCAAACACGTAGGTGGAGAATGACAGTCATTATTTCCCAATCTGATTGATTTGATAGATATAGACATTTAATGGGGATAATTTTAACCAAAAAAGATTACTGTAGAGCTGAAATTTTTGATCTATCCAAATTGATATATTGAAAATTTTTCAGATATCCACATATGAGTAAAGAAGACATGAGGTTAGAAAATTTTTTTCCTTTAATTTTTTTTTAATGTAAGGGTATCAGAGTGGAGGACATAGATTACGCTACCTGTGTTTAAAAATAATGCGCTTTGCCTAACCTTCAGCAGAATGTATTGTTTTAGCATATTCTATGTATAAAAAAGTTTAAAGATGTCTTCAAAGAAGACTAGAGTCTTTAAGTCACTTATAGCTATATTTTACTACAAAAATTTGTGTATAAAGATATATTTAAATGTTTTAGATAAATTTAAGTTACTCCATAAGAAATGTTTAATTTCAGCTACTGTGAATTCTTTTGATCAGTCCTTTGCTTTTTAAAAAACCCTTTCCATGTTGTTAAAAAGAAAATTAGCTATCAGGTATTAAAAGATCCATTTCTTAAATGGGCAAAGTTAAAACCTTCTGTAATATATTTAAATGTATATTTTTAAGAGAGATGCTACATTACCAATGATTTTATAAATAATTTAAAATTTACACATTTATAGATGCAAACCAAAAGATTTTTTTTGAAAGAGAGAAAAAAATTACCTTTTATTTGTTTGGATCTCATCGTCAGAAGTATTATTTAGATTAAGAAACCCAAGTTAATGAAACCTGATCCCATATTGAAGAGTGAATGTATTCCTGAAATATTTCTTAAAACAGAATATTAAAAAATAAGGTGTTTTCTCCCTAGCTTCTTGTTGCAGTATTTCTGATTGCTTCATATTTCACAGTTTTAATGTAAAGTACAAGCTCTACTTTTATAACATGTTCTGTAAGTTTCTTTAAAACTATTGTTATATTTCAGTTGAACTCATCTATCTGCATAGTCTTTTGTTATTTTTGCAGGCTGCACCCTTAACTTGCAGAGGCCATTTTGTTTTATTTGTTTGGTGATAAAGCTGTGTTTGAAATGCTTTAAACTCCAAGGCAGATTGTCTGTGTAATAAGCTATAGCCTTTCACCATGTGGTGTTTACCAGCTGTTACTCTATATTTTAAAAAGCCAGAGATTTCTTCTGTATAAACCGTTTCTATAGCATTTTCTAAACAAAAAAAAAAAAGGGTCTTTTCCTTGTCTCATAATAAGATTGTAAACCCATTTCCTGCACGTGTTCTTAGCAGGCATGATTGTGAGCGTGTGTGGGGTGCGCACATGCGTGCCAGTCTTTGTACCATAACTACCTCATGGTTTGAGTGATGATCGTACTGCTGGTTCTGTTAACAGAGCACATTTTGTTGGGTGAGTCCTGTATGTGGTATTTTTTCCTGTTTGTTTTATCTGGGGATTGTTCATGAAATTGACAGATGTTTTTCTAAAAAAGGACTATTATCAGTTTCCGAGTACAATACTTCTCTCTTCTGGGTTTTCCTGAATGAGCCTGATTTTGTTGCTGTTTTTCATCATCAATGAGGGTAAAAAGAGTACCCTTAAAATTCCTGTGGCCAGTTTGAACACCCCTGTTGTATTCTTTTCTCTGTTCAATGTGTCCGCTGTTTTGTGAACGTGCTTAGATGTATAGTTTTGATAACCACAATTTTAAGTCCTTTATCTGTGCATAATAAAAAGATATATATCCATTATTAATATGTGTCTTGTTTGGTCATTATTAAATTCTACCCTCAGGCTGATAACCTTTTTCACTGTGGCTTTCTACATGTATTGTCTGCTCCAGCTGTGCTGATGAGGAAGAAGGAGGGAAGGCTAAGAGGTTCGCAGAAGCTGAGGGGAGGGTGGACAGGCCAGAGGGACAGTGCAGCAGGAGCAGTCCCTCTTTTCAGAAAGACAGGAGATGTGGAAGTGGGTGTCCAGCCCTGGAATCCATTCCTGGGCCTTCTGTCAGTCTCCAGGAGTCAAGGATAGAAAAATAGTATGTATATATGATGACTTTTCATCCCTTCCTCATTCCCCAGTGAGCTTCCAGCATTCCGTATCTCAGTATGGTACCTCTTCCAGTTGCCCAAGCCAGAAACCAGGGAATCTAACTGGAGCATCTTTGGCTTCCCCACCCTAGAATGGAGTCCAAGAGTTATTCTACCTCTAAAATATCTCTTTCTCCTAAACCACTGACACATTCCTCCTCCAACTGCTGTTACCCATTGCTCAAGAACCATTATCTCTTGAGCTGAGTTACTGCAACCGACTCTTAACTAGGATGCCAGCTTCCTGTCTGGTTCCCCTTAATCCCTTCTCCACCATGCATCCAAAGTAGTCCTAAAAAGACTCAAATGATGTTTCTTCCCAACTTGATGCCTTTATGTAATTCTCCATTTGCCTTCGGGATGAAGTTGAAATTCCTAAGCATGTCTCCAAGGAGGGTAATCTGCCTGCCTTCCCAGCTACTTCTCTCACCTCTCTGGAGCTCAGTTCTGTTTGGCATACACCCCTCCCCCACCCCCAGACAAACCTGTATTATGAAAACAGTTCTTGTTGACCATCAAGATTACGTTATAACGTTGAGTGTGCGTTTACAAACCATACTCCCAACCCCTATCTCTTCCTCCCTTTTAAACTTGATGACTTAGATGGTTTGGTATCAAAGCCAGCAACCCGCACCTCACACCCTACACAGGTAGATGCCCATAGAACAGGAACAGTTTAAGTTGCGCCTCACGTGGGCAAGGTTGGAGTGCTCAGTACAGATGAGAGTCCAGCCATTCTTCAGTGCCGTGATTGCCCCCTGCAATCTCAGAGGATATGTAGGAGAATTTGGCAGGTCAACTAATTTTTCCACCATTAAACTCTACTGGTAGCTATGGGAGCAGAAACCTAGGTGATCCATAAGGGGCTTGAGAGAGTCTATCAACTGCCTGGAATTGTATGGAACATTTTTGAGCAGATATGTCTGGGCTTTTGTTGTTTTTGGTGAAAGCGTCTGTAGCTTTTTTGTAGTTACATCCTCTAATTCTTTACAAAAAAAATATCTTTCTTGCTCACATAATATGTGCATAAAATGAATACAAACATATAGCAGTAAAAAAGCTTCATAATCCTCCCCCTTGGATCTAAGAATACTGCTTTAGTGTATGTATTCCCAGATGCTACCTTATATTCATATCAATATGTACATGCCACTATAATAAGATTGGATGATAACATTTGTGACTTTTTCACATGGCATATCTATCAGGCCACCTAAGATGAGTGCTAATCATCACTTTCTTACTAGGCTTAGCTTAAATTGCCCAAGTAAAACATGGTTATTGTAGGAGGTGAAATAAAACAAAAGATAATTTGTTTATGCTATCCTTCCCCCTCCCCCATCACTTCTCTAGAGGAATTGATATTAGCCTTTTTCCAAACTCAAATGTATTGAAACATGTTTACGAAGAGAAGAGTTTTTGTTTTGTTGACTACAAGTGGGATAGCAATGTACATACTCTGCAACTTGCCTTTTTCACTTAACATAGACCTTCTTCTGGATTACTAGATACCAAACAAGTTCATGTTTTTTGATGGCTACGTAAGTTATATAATGAATTCAGCCAATTTTACTAATGACATTTGGAAGTGTTATTTTTAGGTTTTTCCAGTATACTCTGCTGCAGTTAATATCCTTATATGTATGTCCTTGCATTCTAGTGTTTCAAAGCAAAAAAAAAAAAAAAAAAAGTCACAGAATCACAAAGAGAAACAGACAAATTCGTCATCATAGCAGGATATTTTAACTTATCACTCAGAAGTTGATGTCAAAAAAATTTGGTTATGGAAAATTTGAACAATGCTATTAAGCTTGATCTAGTGGGTGTACATAGTGTCCTGTGCACCCATATTTGAGACTTTTGTACACACCACTACTAGAGCCACAACGGAATTCTCAGCAAACATAAGGGAACTCAAACATATTGATCAGGTTATTTAACCACAATGCAAATTAGTTTAGGAATTAATATGAAAAGAACAACTTAAAAACACTTGTGTAAAAGAAGAACTCAAAGGAAAGTAAAAGGTGAGACTTGAAGAATAAAAATACTACACTCAAACATGTAGCAAACAGTTATCTAATAGAAACTTAGAGCTATAAAGTGCTTATATTGGAAAAAAGATTGAAAATGAAAGGGTATTCAATGTAGGATGTTTATTATTACTTAAAAAGACGACTGGTGATAGACAAAAATAAAGTAAAAATAAACTCATGCATTAGGAATGAAAAAACATACAGCAGATATTGCAGAGATTTTAATAAGGGATTACCATCAACAACTTTATTCAAATAAGAAAACTTAGAATATGTGAGTGATATGTCAGGGTCAGTTGGAGTTCTGGTGGGGAAACAAACCACACCGGGAATTTCCACACAGAGAAATTAATACAGACATACCACGGAGATATGGGAGTTAGGTTCCAGACCACTGCAATAAAGCAAATATCATAATAAAGCGAGTTGTACAAATTTTTTGGTTTCCCAGGGCATAGAAAAAAGTTATGTTTACAGGCAGGGCGTGATAGCTCACGCCTGTAATCCCAGCACTGTGGGAGGCCAAGGCATGAGGATGACTTAAGGATGGGAATTTGAGGCTAGCCTGGGTAACAAAGCAAGACCCCTGTCTCTACAAAATAATAAACAAAAGAGCAAGCATAATGATGTGCCTGTAGTCCTAGCTGCTTGGGAGGCTGAGGTGGGAGGATTGCTTGAGCCCAGGAGTTTGAAGATACAGTGAGCTATGATTGCACCACTGCACTACAGCCTGTGCAACAGAGTTAGATCCTGTCTCAAAAAAAAAAAAAAAAAAAGTTTATACTATAGTCTATTATGTCTAAAAAACAATGCACATACCTTAATTTAAAAATACTTTATTGCTAAAAAATGTTAATCATCTGAGCCTTCAGTGGGTCATAATCTTTTTTCTGGTGAAGGGTTTGCTTCGAGGTTGATGGCTGCTGATTACTTAGGGTAGTACAGTAGTTGCAAAAGCTTGGGGTGGCTGTGGCATTTTCTAAAATTAAAACAACAATGAAGTTTGCCACATCAATTAACTCTTCCTGTCAAGAAAGCCTTCTCTGTAGCACGCCATGCTCTTTGATGGCATTTTACCCTTAGTAGAACTGCTTTCAAAATTGGAATTAACCCTCTCAAGCCCTGCTGCTGCTTTATCAACTAATTTTATGGAATTTCCTAGATCCTTTGTTGTCATTTCAACAATGTTCACAGCATCTTCATCAGGAATAGATTCTGTCTCAAGAAACTATTTTCTTGTCTAATTTATAAGAAGCAATTCCAGGCTGGGTGCAGTGGCTCATGCCTGTAATTCTAGCATTCTGGGAGGCCGAGGCAGGAGGATTGCTTGAGCTCAGGAGTTCGAAACCAGCCTGAGCAAGAGTGAGACCCCCATCTCTACTATAAATAGAAATTGGCCAAACAACTTTAAAAAATAGAAAAAATTAGCCAGGCACGGTGGTACATGCCTATAGTCCCAGGTACTCGGGAGGCTGAGGCAGGAGGATCATTTGAGCCCAGGAGTTAGAGGTTGCTGTGAGGTAGGCTGACACCATGGCACTCTAGCCCTGGAAGGAAGGAAGAAGGAAGGAAGGAAGGAAGGAAGGAAGGAAGGAAGGAAGAAGGAAGGAAGAGGAAGGAAGGAAGGAAGAAGAAGAGAAGGAAGGAAGGAAGAAGGAAGGAAGAGAGGAGAGAAGAAAGAGAGAGAGGAGAAAAAAGAAAGAAAGAAAGAAAGAAAGAAAGAAAGAAAGAAAGAAAGAAGAAAGAAAAGAAAGAAAAAAGAAGCAATTCCTCATCCATTAAAGTTTTATCATGAGATTGCACCAATTGAGTTATATCTTCAGGCTCCACTTCTAATTCTAGTGCTCTTGCTATTTCCACCGTATCTGCAGTGACTGCCTCCACTGAAGTCTTGAACCCCTCAAAGTCATCCATGATGGTTGGAATCAACTTCTTCCAAACTCCTGTTAATGTTGGTATTTTGACCTCTTCTCATGAATCACAAATGTTCTTAATGGCATGAATCCTTTCTGGAAGGTTTTCAATTTATTTTGCCCAAATCCGTCAGAGGATCACTCTATCTATGACAGCTCTAGCATTATGAAATATATTTCTTAAAGAATAAAGCTTTAAAGTCAAAATTACTTCTCGATCTGGGGGCTACAGAATGGATGTTGTGCTACCAGGCACGAAAACAACATTAACCTCCTTGTACATCTCCATCAGAGCTCTTGGGTGACCGGGTGCATTGTCAATGAGCAGTAGTGTTTTGAAAAGAATCTTTTTTTGTGAGCAATAGATCTCAATGGAAGGTTTAAAATTTTCAGTAAACCCTATAAACAGATGTGCCGTCACATCTTTGTTGTTCCATTTACAGAGCTCAGGCAAAGTAGGTTTAGCATACTTCTTAAGGACTATAGGATTTTTGGAGTGGTAAATGAGCATTGGCTTCAACTGAAAGTCACAAGCTGAATTAGCATCGAACAAGAGAGTCTTCCTGTCTTAAGAGGCTTTGGATCCAGGCATTGACTTCTCCTCTCTAGCTATGAAAGTCCTAAGTAGCACCTCTTCCAATAGAAGGCTATTTTATCTACATTGTAAATCTGTGGTTTAGTGTAGCCACCTTCATCAATGAGCTTAGCTAGATCTT